ACCCCCTGATAATTCTATTCTAAAGAATAGAATTACAGGTACATGTCACCACATCAGTCATCTCCCTGCTGCTTCTGCTGTTGGGACAAGACCCATGAAGTACAGGTGATAAAATATCCTAGGGGACATTCGATACCCAGAAGTATTTGTGTCATGTTACTTGGGCCCATTTCAGCAGATATATTTTGAAGCATTTCATAATATTTGGAGAAACTGAAAACATCTCTCCAAGCCTCTGCTCCACAAAGTGCTCAGTGTAATCAGCTCACCAGCCATCAAAGTGACCAAGGCAGGTATTCTTGATGTCCGGGAGCCTCTGAGTCTCACAGAAGGAAAGCCTGGACTTCCCAGGCCAAAATGGCTCCCAAAGGAATGAAATATTTGCATGGACATGGGTTCTGGGTTTTTTTTAAGGCAAATTATAGTGAGATTCTGTGAAAACCCAGAGCAGCACAACTTACAGCTCTCTCCTCTCTTCTTTCTCTGTATATGTATGTATGTATGTATATGTAAAGAAATATTAACAACTTTATGTTTACTTGTCTGTTCAATGTGTGTGTAAGCATGTAGGAAACATGTTCATGCCACATTGCACATATGGAGGTCAGAAGACAACTTGCAGAATTCCATTCTCTTCTCTTCTTCTACCACATGAGTTTCAGGGACTGAACCTGGGTTGTCGGTCTTGGCAGCAAGTACCTTAAACTGCTAAGTCATTTCACCAGCCCTACACTATATGTTCTTGTCCCTTTTTAAACAGTTAAGTGTAATACATAAAAATTATACCTGTTTCACTGCCAAACAGTGTAACTCCTCATACTGTGGAAAATAAGAAATTGGTCTTCTCACCCAATAGTCCTATTTTGCCTTTTGTTTGAAAAATTCTAGGTCTCTAAGTTTGTGATTTTTCTGTAAAATATACCCTAGTCCTGGTTTCCAAGGTTAAGATAGATACATGCTCATTTTCTACTGTTGAAAAATATGTTTCACATTGGGACCATAAAACAGGGCCAATCTGTTTCTTTCTTTCTTTCTTTCTTTCTTTCTTTCTTTCTTTCTTTCTTT